AAGCCGAGCTGGCCCCCTAAACCTCGCCCCCCCCCACCCCCACAACCCAAAACCCACCCCAGCTGGACAAGGAGCGCCTCGCGGCCGCCCTCGAGAAGCAGCGCCGCGCCGCCAAGGAGTCCGTCGAGACCGACGAGCGCAAGCGCAAGTTCAACTCGCTCAAGGCCAACGAGGAGGACGTGACGGAGGAGGACATGGAGGCGTTCCGCCTGGTCAAGCCCAGGGCGGAGGACCCCATGGCGGCCATGCGGCGCGCGGCAGCGGCGGGCGGCGGTGGGGCCGGCGGCTACGACCTGCTGGACTGAAGCGCGCACGCGGCGGCGCGCCCGCGCTGGAGGCTGTGCGGTTTCGGACCTGCGGGTTTGTTGCGGTGATGTTTGGATGCACCTCTTTGTTTCTCGTTGCAGGCCCTTCCCAGGTGTTTGCGTTGACGGCTGTGCGCCCTAGCGCGCAGCTGGTCTGATAGAAGCGCTGCGCACAGCTTTGTGTATACGTAACAAGCATGCTCCACCCCGTGCCTCCTTACACTGACACCTTAGCTCTGCTTGTTGCGCCGCGCTGCAAAATGCGCCGGCCGTTTGGGCTTTCACTTGGTTGGTAACCGATGCTCGCAACCAAGGCTTGATCTTGCCATGCGCGTAGGCCGAGCTTGGGCTCTCCGCTAGTCGAGCAGTGCCTCTGCCGTAAAGCCTCGTCGTTGCTGCTCCTCCCCTTTAGATTGGGTGCAGCAAAGGTGCATGCAGTAACGCACAGAATCGCAAGGAAGACATGAGGAAGAAACCTGGAGCCATCAATGATTTGCAGCCAAATGGATCAAAATCTGTGAGTTGACAACCCAGTGAACCTTCACATCGGTTGTACACATACCAAAAGGATGCAATAGGCATGCACGTGGGGATGTGCGCCATCACAGCAACGCCAAACAAATCACAGTGATGCACCGCAAATCGTAGCAAACCAGCTGTGCAGCACGGACGATGAGCTGATTTGCTGTGTGTCCCGTGGTCAGCCCGTTCACCACAGCCATCGACCGTACAAGGCGTCAGGTGCGGCGACCGTACACGGCACAGCACGCCGTCCCGCCCTGACTTGTGCCGCCTTAAGAAGCCCGCCCCAACATCAAAAACAGTTGTAACTAACACACGCCCAGGCGTGTGGGGCCCAGCAAGGCAGGTTGTGCGCGCCAATCAATCGCCATGCAAAAGATCCAATGATATCAGGAGGCGGCGCCGGTTGCCGCCGTGCCACTGTCGTGGGGTCTTCGGCCAGCAGCTGCGTGCCAGGGAAGCTGGAGGGGGTCCGGTGCCACGTGAGCACAATACTTGAGGGGGGTGCAGGCCCAGGGTTCCAGAGGCTATTTCACAGCACAAGGCTGGCCTGTTGGAGCTGGGAGCAGCGCGCCATTTGGCTACTTTGGCGAGCGCAGGACAGCCCAGCTGCCGGCCGCCGGCTGAGCAGCGTCACACTCTACAGGCAACGCCGCCGCTGCCGGACGGGCCCGCACATGCACTGCCCCGTCAGCGCCGCCCCCGCCTGCTCGGAGGCCGCCGCTGAGAGACAGCAGCTCTGAGCCGCCGCCGCTGCTGGTCCACGCGCCTGGCAGGCTCGTCTCCTGCTTCGCGGCCGCGGCTGCAGCCGCCGCACCGCTGTTTGCGTTGGGGCCGCCGGGCACGCCGCTGCCGCTGACGCTGTGCATTACAAGGCGCTCAACCAGATCTCTTGTGATCTCGGGCACCCGATGCCCCGCGGCGCTGCGTGTCTGGCCTGGCGTGCTTGGCGCAGGGCGGCTGGAGCGAGGACAGCCGGAGCGTGCCCTGCCCTGCGCTGGCTCTGCTGCCGCAGTGCGATCACCGGCCAGGTCGCCGCCGCCCGCAGCGGCATCCGCGCCGCCGCCGCCGCTGAGGCGGTCGGCTGCGCGGCGGATGTAGATGGGCACGATGCTCTTGGCCACCTCCATCGCGATGAGGAGGCAGGCTCCAATTTGTAGGAATAGGGTCAGGGCGCCTGACAGGAGACGGGAAGGGACCGGGAATGAGAGCACACACGCACGGGTGGAAGTATGGCGACGCTGCAGCCCAACTGCGGCCGCCGCAAACCTGGCGAGCCCCCTGACACATGCCGCCTTGCTTGCCCCCGCCATACTAGAGGGTCAAGAAGAGGCTTGGCTGCCCGTTAGCCGACCAGGCCCGCCAGCCCCATTTCACAGGTCATTCGCTGCAGGCGAGGTGTGGACACACAAGGCCCGAGCCCTGTAGGCGCCCACCTCCGCAGACACCCCAGATGCTGAGCCACACGTTGTCCCGCACCACACGGACGCGGTACCAGGCTGACATGATGCGTATGGTGGCCTGCCATCAGTCGCAGGAGGGGGGCGCGCGTCTTGGGGCGGTCTGAGGGGCCAGCACGAGCTGCATGGCAGGAACGGAGCGCCGCCATAACAGCATGGGCCGGGTGCATCTGTCAGAGGCAGGCGCACACCTGGCTGTAGGTCGCCAGCTGGACCGGCGTGAGGGTGTCGGCGCAGGCGGTTGCGGCTGGGACGACCTCGTGGTCGCCGCTCACAAAGGTGATGAACCTGCGTTTTGCGCAGGTGAGTGATGCGGCTCTGGCAAGAAACCAGGGCCGAACGGTGTTTGGACGTTGGAGCAGGCAGGCAGGCAGGCAGGCAGGCAGGCAGGCAGACAGGCAGGCAGGCAGGCAGGCAGGCAGGCAGGCAGGCAGGCAGGCAGGCAGCCTGGCAGGCAGCAACGCATGCGGTGACAGCTGGCACCCAACAAGTGTGCTGCATTTGCTTTGCACAAATACGCCTGAGCAGGGAGGGTCAGATAGCGGCGTCGTGCCTGCTAGTTGAGGCCATACAAAGCATTCAAGCTTCAAATGCAAACTAGAACCCACCACTCTCGGCGCAGCGGTGCCACTGGGCTGGTGAAGTTCTCGGTCTGAACAAAATTGGCCAGCTGAGGGGCATGTGTGCGGGGGAGGGGGGGGGATGGCAGGGGGTTGAGCAAGAGGCTCTTGCAGCGTTCACCATGCGCACGCAAGTGTGCGTTATTTCAAGCCCTGGCATCCGGTCCCTGAACTCTGCCACTGCCAGCCCAACAACATTAGAAACAAACACGCATGCTGCGGCGGCATCACCGGCAGTACGATTATATATAAGGAGACACATGCACCATGTATGAGCAGGATGCTCACATAGGACCCTCCCAGGACAGGGGTGTAAAGGTTGTAGATGCCGCTCTCACAAGCAGGTGGCGGACAGTTGGTGTCAGCGCCGATCTGCAATCCAGAGCCAGGTGGCTGGCCTGGGGTTTGCAGAAACACAGAGGCAGGCGGGTTTTCAGGGCACCCAGGGCAGCTTCGTGTTGTTCTGAATCTTGCTGGTGGCAGCATTCCTCCTGTTTCCCTTCAATAGCCGATCGGCGTTGCAACACCGCCGCACCTTCCTCATGCTGTGAAGGGTCCCAAACGGCCAAAAACCCATTGAGCGGGTTCTGGGTGAACGTGATGTTGAACACCATCTGCTCCCCTGCCGCCAGCGGCACGCAGCCGCGCTGCTGCACCAGGTCCCCGTGGCTGCTCCACTTGTCGTTGTGACGGTTGGATATGAAGCATCCTGAAGGGGCGCTGCATTTCACCACCATGGGGAAGGGCCCCTGCAAATCCATTGCACGCAATGTCCAGCGGGGCCGGTTCATGGGGCTTGGTTTGGGGGAAGGTCGTGACATGGCAGCAAGCGAGGCTGTCCTATGTAGCAGTAGGTCAGCCAGGTATGGGGCAGCGAAGATACACAAGCCGAGCTTCTGATGCTGTAGTGGTGAGGATTCGTGCAGACAGCTGGCTTGAGGCGGATTTTGCAAGCAGGGTTGGCTTCCGCCCCAGCGCTGCTGCTTGCTGTTCAAAGCGGGTGAGCCGGTGCGCCAGCTGACTCGACACCCACGTCCGCGCGCGGCCACCCCAGCTCCACACCAACGAACCTGTGTGTCCGACCACTCGGTGATGGACTGTATCGTGGGAGGCAGGTGGATCGCGTCGTGGATCTGGAATCCTGAGTAGACCACGGCTGCTAAAAGCGCGATCACCTGTTGAGTTTGGGTGATTGGTGAGGCAGGAGGGGGGGTTTGAGGTTGGCTGCCTAAGTGAGGGCAAGGGCCCACCAGGGAAGACGAGCATGTCGGGATTTTTGGGTCCGGCTCAGACTCAGATGAGGGGAGGAAGTGAGGAGGGGAGGGGAAACTTGGGGCGGCAGGGGTTTCCCGCCAGGTGGGCGCCCGCAGGATATGCGTGCCAGGCAATTCCCACTGCTTGCGAGTCTTCGCGACACCGGGTGACCAATTGGTCAGAACAATCTTGCAAGCACGTTTGACTCACCGTGACGAGGCCCCCTGCAAAGGTGCCGGGCTTGACCTCAACGGCGTAGGCATCTGCTGACCTGATGAGTTCTTCAGGATCTTTCGCCTGGATGCCCATGCGGTTCAGAGCCACCTGCACATGGTTGTGATGGCATTCTTCGGGCGCGCACAGGCGACGCGTCAGGTGATACGTTGCAGAGCCAGCACGCTGCGTCAAAGCAGCGCAAAATGATCTTGAACATTCCCAGGGCTGTTGTCCTGCCGTCATGGCCGCCCAATGTTGGTTTGTCCAATTGTCATGAATGCCTGGCCAGCGCACCGCCTTGCCGCCGGCTCGCTTCCACGTCGCCTGTGCCTGCGCTGGTGCACTCATCAACTCATCCGTTCCCATAATTTCGACGATATGAGCTACCTATCGGGGCTTGCGTGGTCAGAACGCTTGGTCAAGCAGCAAAATGCGCGCTACGAGAACTTCAGAAGGCTTGGTGGGTGTACCTTTGATTCGAAACTATATATGTGGTGCATTCTACATTCTCGGCATGCTTCAATGGGTGCAGTAGCACTGGGAGTAGCGTTGCGGGCATCCCACGTCTCGTGTGAACACTGCTCTCCGAGCTTCCGCGCGACCTTCACTTGCGCATCATGTCAAAACACGTGATCCTCTTGTACGTTATGTTCGCTACTCCATCTACGGTGTCGGCTTTTGGGAACGATCTTGCTGACACTCGAAAGCCGACTCAGCACCCGGTGTGCGTGCTGGGTCGTTTTGATTTATAAAGACGCCTCGATTTGTTTTGTGCCAGTGTGATCACGCCTCGGAAGTGCGACGTCACCTTCGGTCCCGCGTAAATCATTCAGTGCACCGCACATCGGCAGCGCCTGCTCGGTAGCCTTGCGTTCGGTTAGAAGTGGTCACATGGGGCGCACGCTTGTCCTAACGGCGGCCTTCGGCCTTGCCGTGGGCGCGTGTGCTGCTTCGCTGCGAGGTGTGGTCTGGTGGGAGCGTCTGTTGCCTGGCATCCCTTGGCAAGCGCTTGGCGCGCGGCATGCTCACACTATGAATGTGATCGCTGGCCACAAACTCACAAGGTTGCTTGGGTGCTGCTGCCTCCCCACATTGTGGCGCGCGCGGCATTGACCACTGCACGCAGAGGGCGTCCCGCCGCTGGCCGTCGCTGCCGCGGCGCTCTTCGCGCTCCTGGCCGTCGCCTACCACTGGCGCCACGCGCTCGGCTCCCAGCGGCCGCACGCGGGGACGCCCGTCGTGCCGGGCGCGCTGCCGCTGCTTGGCAACGCCCTGCAGGTGGGGCCACGACTCCAAGCGCTACCTGGTGCCCAAAGCGCCTCCGCAGTGGCGCCTTGCCTCCTTTTTTGGGCGACAGCCCCAACTCTCTCACCGTCTCTTGCAAGGGTGATCCCAACTCCTCTCACCTCACCCCCTCCCCAAAGCCGTGCCCCACCCGCTGCGCCCCACCCACCACCGGCCCAACCC